CTCATTATAGTGATTTGTACTATTACCATGAACAGATTCATGTAACATTTTTATTCTGTTGCTGAACAAAATACATTGTTTCAGTTTTCTACATCTTAAAAATGTATCTGCCTCTCAACTGGATATAGACACAAATGAAAAAGATAACTTTCTTTTATTCTTAGACCAATATCATTAAAAACAGATAAACTGAAGAAGCTGCAATTTGGGAAACATTCCTTCATACTTCAGTTAATTGAAGTTATAATGGTAATAACTAACCTGACATCTACGGAGTAGCAAGCTCTTGCAGGAATACACAAAGGCAGGTTCTTAACTGATCTTGGGAAGAGGCTGCCACACTCAGTTTAGGCTTTGAGAGGATGAAGCTATGACTGTGTAGTTCACTGCTGGAAGCTCAGTGTGGTGAAGGCCTTATGGTGGTAAATTCTCAGGGGCCACGTGCTCATGGTCATTCCTATTCTCTTGTTTCTGTCCCTTAGAGCAGGGAGGGTCACAAAAATCTCCCTTCTCAAAGGTTCCATCTGGGGAAGAGGGATAGGACAACTTCTGAAATGCATCCAGATTCTTCATCCCCTCAGCACTATAGAATTAAAAACGAATCTGCAGCAAAAAACATCAAAACTGGCATCTTGAGGCACAAAATGACTCCATAGGAACTGGGACGGAAACAGAGTTTTCACAAAGATTTTGTTCACAACGTCCTCCTCACTTACCTGTGAAATAAAAGGCTTGATCTTCAGGGAAGAGCATCAGATCTGAAAGCTGAGGGCTCTAATGGAGAAATAGTGGTTCTGTGATAGAAAATAATATGAGACACTCTGCCCAGAAGAAGGGGCAGGAAAACTGGGGCCATCAGCTCACCTAGAGCAGAGACAGCAGATCCTGAAAGGCAGCACCTGGACCCAGGGTCCCTTAGAATCACAGCTTGGGAGAAGGTCATTGACTCTGACTTTAGTCTCAAAACTTCCACACACTGACAATTGTCAGGTAATTTCCACACTGAAGTGTGTGTGGAAGAGCTGGAACAGACAGAGCCTCTGCAGGGGAGCACAGCAGAGAACATGAAGCCAAGCAGGGAGCAGAGACAAGGTGTCACTGGGGAATCTGAAGTCTCTGATGGACGCAGAAGGACCAGAGTCAACCCTGGTCACCACTGCAAACATAGACTTCAGAAGTACCTCTGAGGAAGTTCAGAAAAACTGTAGACTAAGTGCCTAGTAACAATAAAATATGGGAAACTACAGGCAGAAAATGCATCCAATAAACTAACAAGGCAACATCAACTGTCCAACACAACCTGTCTGGTTATCAACATGATTATAAGATACATCAGAGTGAAAGACTGAAGCCATAGTAGACAAATGATCTGAACATGACAGAGCATTAGAGCTATCTAACTAATGAGCATATTTAGTTAAATCTATACATGAGAACATGGGAAGACCACAGGGTCAGGCAGTGACTCTGCTGACAGATGGAAACATTAATATCAGATGGAGTTTCATGACAGTCAGAAGCACAGTGCTCTGCATAGAAGGAGCCTTGTGCACACTCAGCAGCGGGGTTGCTCAGCCTGCAAGTCAAGATGGGGCTTCAAAAGTGTCATTGGAAGTCAGGAAAACCAAATTGCAAAGACCAAAAAGAGTGAGGAAAACAGGAATGATTATATAAAATTGTAACATCGATGTGTTTCAAAGGGAACTGAGAAGTTGAGTTGCTGGTGTTCAGGAAAACACACTGAAATTTCCAAACACACATATTTTGGTGAGAACATTGAATCCATGTTTCATCAATCTGTGAGATTCCCCACAAATTCAGTAGATTTTTAGCCTAGATTAGGCAGATATATGTCCACACTTTACTCTCCACAAATATGCAACAGTAAAGAGTAGCTTGTGTATTCTGGATACTCATCTTTTGTTGTATGAACACCCT